AGCAAGGTTGATAGGAAGACAGCTCTAGATGTGGCCTCATGGTTTTTCAATATTGTCACTTCTGTGGGAATAATCATGGTCAACAAAGCCTTGATGGCCACGTATGGCTTCAGTTTTGGTATGTTTCAAAGGATCATTTTACCTGCAAACTTTGCTAAACTGTGTGTCTGCGTTACATAATTAATGGATCTATCACTTTATGCTCATTCTGTTTCTATATGACTTGTTGCTCTATGGGTCCAACTCTGTATGGTCAACTTAAAAGGAAGAATCAGAGTTGCAAGAGTGATAGTTTATGAAGTAACATAAATTATTTGATTTTCCCGTTTGTTGAGGTTGCATTCATTGAACAGAAAAAGAAAATGAAAGAGAAATCCATGAATTTTTGACAAGTTCAATTCATGATTACAGTGAGAATTTTAAAAGATTACATGATGTTCTGTCCCATTTATTACTGTGATGCAGCTACAACATTAACCGGTTTGCACTTTGCCACTACAACCCTGTTAACCGTTCTTCTTAGATGGCTGGGTTATATTCATGACTCTTATATACCTTTACCTGATCTTCTCAAGTTCGTTTTGTTTGCGAACTTTTCTATTGTTGGAATGAATGTGAGTTTGATGTGGAATTCTGTGGGCTTCTATCAGGTCAGTTTTAGTGACTTGGATTAATAAATCTTCTATGCTTGATCTTTTGGAATTTATGTCATATTGTTCTTAAAATTTGTTCTCAGATAGCAAAGTTGAGCATGATTCCAGTATCTTGCTTTCTTGAAGTTGTTTTCGACAAGGTCCGCTACTCGAGGGATACAAAGCTTAGCATTGTACTAGTTCTCCTTGGAGTTGCTGTCTGTACTGTTACGGATGTGAGTGTGAATGTCAAGGGTTTTTTAGCTGCTGTAATAGCAGTCTGGAGCACAGCCCTGCAACAGTATGTAAGTCCATCTGCACGAGTATCTAGATTTTACATGCTTAATGTGTAATAAATTGGACAGTTTTGGATAGTAATGAATCTAATGATCAATATTTTTATGACTGATCAAGTTTCATGATGCGTTTGTCATGGTTTGATCCATTCCATAAATGAGTCACCAGCCTTGCTCAAGTCTTATCCATGGATTGATAGTTTGGTCTTTCTTCTTTTATCTTCTTATTTATTTATTAATTTTGCAGTATGTACATTTTCTTCAACGCAAGCATTCTTTAGGATCTTTTGACTTATTGGGACATACTGCTCCGGTCCAAGCTGCAAGCCTACTGTTAGCTGGTCCTTTTGTTGACTATTGGTTAACAGAGAAAAAGGTTTATGCCTATAACTACACTATGATATCAATGGTAAGGTTTTTATCCGACTTGACTCGACCGATTTGGATATAGTTGTCCATGATTATCCTTTAAAATAGAAGTCAATGGTAATCTTCCTGCCTTCACTGTGTTGACGGAAATGAATGTGCGAGACCTGTTCTTCCACAATATTTGAAATCCTACGACAAGCAGGATTTGTTTTTATTAGCTTACCACTTTGATTCATGCTTGGTTTTAAATTGGAGAACCATAGAATGCATGTGCAAGTTCAGTATTGAATTTTAATTTTTAATAGATCTTGCTTGCTGATAATCATTACTGATGTAAACGATAACGCGATGATTCCTGCTTGCAGTTTTTGATAATCCTATCATGCACCATTGCGGTTGGGACGAACCTCAGCCAGTTCATCTGCATCGGCCGGTTTACAGCCGTATCATTCCAAGTGCTTGGCCATATGAAGACTATTCTTGTCCTGATTTTAGGGTTCCTTTTCTTCGGGAGAGAAGGTCTTAATCTACATGTAATTCTGGGTATGGCCATTGCTGTAGCAGGAATGATCTGGTATGGTAATGCCTCCTCCAAGCCCGGAGGAAAAGAGCGTTGGACTTATTCAGCTCCAAGCAACAAATCACTAAAACCGGACAATTTATTCGAGTCCGCCGAGACGGACGAGAAGGTTTAACAATTCGATTACGAGTTCAATGAAACTAAAGGTAAAGATTTAGAGGAGAAAACTGAGCCAAACTATTGCTATTTTTGGGTAAATCATTTCCTCGTTGCTTTAATTTATTATCCACGTGAAAATGCTGCTGCTGATTGAGGAAGCAAATTCCCTGTAAACCAGCATCATTTTCCTCTAATAATATTTTCCCTGTTAACCAAGGGAAGTCCCAAAATAATTGGAGGACTGAGATTAGACCTGTTGATGGGTCCCATTTTAATTTAAATTATTTGGTTTTTATCTTAAATGGGATAAGTTTAAGGCTTTTGTATTCTAGGCCAGTCTGATTTAATATGGATAATTATTTAATTATTAAAAAGATTTTTATTATACAATATAATTGTTTTCATATTTTAATATAGTATTCTTCTGTTATTCACTAGGTGTGTACATTTGATTGGTTAGGTTTTTATATAAATGAAATAAATCTATTTACCTATAGGGATAAGTTATATTAGATATTACTGAATTATTCGTTAACTTATTTGCATTATTGATTTTTAATTAATTATAATTTTATATTTAATTATATTACTCCGTCGTTGATTTAATATGATTTTAGTTTTATTTCGTGGGTTTGAACTGGAAAAAAGTATCTTCTTGTGTGTTTTATGCTCTCTTTGAAACCAAGTTCTGGAAATTAATGAAAGTATCCCGATCTTTCTCAATGAAGAACAACAATTTTCAATCAAATTGATTGAATTTTGTTAACAAATGATCAAATATTTAATTTAAAAATTGGATATTTGATCAATTTAATAAAAAAATAATTGCAAAATATTACTAACATTCGATCCTATTATCAGGACCTTATAGTAAAATGTTTCAACTTTCCAATAAATATCTATAAATAGTTTAGCTTCAGTGATTAAATTGTAAATTGAGAATTATTGGAGTACTATATTATTTAACGTCCAATTAGTAAATCAAACATATATTTTCTTTAGGATAAAAAGATTTTATTCTTATGAACTTTAATAAATATTTTTAACATCCCGATAATTTTGATATAAAATTCTACCTTCGTGTTTAAAGAATTCGAACCTCGACACTTGTGTAATTGAATTTGTATGTGATTCGTGTGATCTCGACGCTTGCGATGCTTGTCTATATACTTTTTTCTAAAACTTGAACATTGAAATCGGATCAAACCGAATAACTTGCGAGCCGAGAAATCTAGAGCTCGTCACGAGGTTTTGTTGATTATTAGACTGAGAGACGGTTGTTTCTTTCTTCTTCTTCTTCACCTTATCAGCAGTCTTGTGAACAACTTTTGCAGCAGTTCTGGCAGCTCCTTGAAGCGTAGCTTCACTTGTTATAATGCTCTTCTTCATCGCCTCTTTCATGTTCTCTCTTACACTTTCAGAATCCTCCCCTTTTTCTATGCCACTGCTTCTATATATATATATTAAATCCTATCTTGACGTAGAAGGAGATCTTACTCGATATTTGGAGGGGTAAACCGCAGCTGGAATTGAAGGATAAGGGATTTGAACTTGTGCGAAAAAGTTTGATGAGATCTCTTCAACAGATCAACGGAGGTGGATAGTCTTGTGATATTCGTCGTTCAACTGCTCCGCTCCTTCGCAAACCACCGATGATATTTGATTCCACACAACGACCCCGATCCAAAGAAGAAGCAGACTGGAGCTTATTCTGCAACTGGATTCCTTCATTCTTTATGGAAAAATGAACGAATGAAGAAATGGTTTTGGTTTCAAGTTTGTTCGCTTTCTCTGACTAAATATGAAAGGTAACGTGGAGCTATTGCATCGTATTTCCCTTCCTGAATATTTCGAACTGCTTTTTCAACACCATTATTTTCTTTTGCTCTCTTTTTAATTTGTGCACTGTGATTTAGGACACAATTTAATCAGGAGTTTCTGCACAAATTCGAATTACTAATTATTTTTATTTTTATTCTGTAAATCGACCATAGAATAAACAAAACTCCAAAAGTATCATTAAGCTTACCAAGAATCTTTATAATAGTAACATAGATGCATTCTTTAAAAAGTATACAAATGATCCCGACTATAGGATATTTCTTTATTAAGTCTCTCGATTACCAAAAAATAAAACAGTCATTCGATTATAGAGTGTTGCTTTGTTAAGTCCTCAACTATTACAAGTTACAAAATAGTCACTCACTATTTATTATATTCCAAACTTGTCATTTTCATTAAAATATCGACGTTCGTCTGAGTTGGACGTTAACATGATGACTGAAATATGATAGTTGTTTGAGATTTTATTATCATATTTTATCATATCACAATCAGCAAGTTAACGTTCAACTCAAAATACCGTCAATTTTTTAACGAAAAAATATAAGTTTGAAACGTAATAAATAATCAAATGACTATTTTATAACTTTTAATAATTAAAGACTCAACAAAATGACACTCTATAGTTAGATAACCATTTTATAACTTCGAGAGATCATTTGTGTATTCTATCTTTTTTTTTAATTCATAGCTTTTATTAGTTTACTTTTACTCTTCATGTTAGCTTTTAAAAGATTTTTAAAAAGATTAATTATTTAATTTACATAGAAATTTCTTTAGGATATGTAATTGATTCATTCGAAAAAGTAATAAATTATGTTATAATTTTTATTATTATTTCAATGACGTATATAAAGGGTTTGTTATTACGATAATTCACGAATTAATTTAATAAATATATTTTAAAAAGTTGATCCCTCACAATATACACACACACAAAAGTAAACATATAAACCTTCCACAAATTGATCGAGTGTCAACTCGATTGAGAAATTACAATAATGATTTTATCTTTAAATAAAGGGAGAATTAAAAACCATTAAACTAAGAATTAAACCCAAATTCAATGCCAATTCTCCGAGAAATTAAAGAGAAATTCCGGCTAGTTCTGCCATTTTAAAATCGTACTTACGTTTCACGTAAAATACTATCACATCAAAGCAAAACAAGCAACGGGTAATCGGATCGAAAGAGCTTTGCAACAAAATGGCTCTTTTTATACAATCAGCCTGTCTCGTCTTACCATATTTCAAGCGGGACAACGTAGGCAGCTGACAATTTTTTGCATGATGAGTACAGATGGAATTCTTAAAACACGATCATGGTAAAGAGTTCGGTGATGAATTCCGATATTCGAAGCTCACACTTTCTTGATAATCTGAACAACATCTTCATCCTCGAGTTCATGATCCTGAGATGAGATCCAGGCAAATCAGCAGAGCATTGAACAACGAAAGGGAAGAAAAAGAATGAAGTAGACGAATGGTGGATATTACAATTACAGCATCTTGATACGGAGAAAAAAAACAAAATGAACATTTGAATGAAACAAAATCTTGTGCTACACCTTGAACACGATTATGACAAGTAAAATGAACATAATACATGGATTGCCAAACCCAAGAAATGGGGGAGCAAACTGGTGGGGGATAGGGGATGTTAAAGGTGACTAATAGAGAAATCAGGGACTTGGGACATACCTTGCCAACTCTTTGAGGCTTGTGTTTTACGCTTGACCCCCATACAAGTGCACTGTGACATTTAGCCAGATTAAGAACTCAATAACTGGGGATTGGAAATTTTGATTCTAAATGCGGTAAAAAAGTAAAAGATGATAATAATTTTGATTCTAAATACAGGAGAAGGTAAAGGAGAAAGAAAACACCACACTTAGAAGCTAACAGTCCAAAATGAGGAAACACAGAGACCACACTCCCACTTAAGAGCTTTATTATGACACCCTAAATTCCAAGCATTATTGCAAGATTTCCCTCTAATGGCAGAAATGGGTTGGAATTTGCTCATCTCAAAAATAAGCAGGGCATTCAGAAAAGAGTAAATGCGAGCATGCAAGTGAAGAAAATTGTTATGATTTGATGCCATACTGCATTAAAAATTTGGAGAGGATACTTACAACTTAAATTGTTTAAGCATGTCTTTATGAATTCGAGTGCAGAAGTCCTCAACCGTCCTTCTCTTTGATGACAGGATAACAGGATCTTCATAGTCTGGATTCAGCCCTTTTGGCTTCGTATATATGCGAGTTAAATTGAGATACTCCCATATCTTCTCAAGGAGACCGTCCAGGTTCCACTCCAGGTGAGCACTTTAGAGTGGTCAGAAAAAGAAATTGTATAAAAAAAATCAAGTACTAAACGAAAATAAACATAGTTGCAGTAAATCACTCGACCATTACAAGGAAATTGTATAGGAGTAAAAGCGACACTTAGGAGCACAATCAGAGTAAGATAAGGCAATAAACAGTTACAGCACAACTATCCTGAATGCGAATATGAAGGTTTGTGCAGTAATTTTTTGAAGTTTTCAATCTTAGAGCGAATATGAAGGTTTTTGTTTATTCTAAACATGGTTCCTACTTTGTAGGTCTCCTGAGTGTGTGTTATAAAACACTTAAGCAGCTCGCAAGGAACAAGTATTATTTGAAGTCTAAATCACAAGAAGGTGATTGCATATTACAACCAACGTACTTCAATGTAGTAGACTCCAATTTTATAATGCCAACTTCGAATGAAAAATGTGTTTGCAGAAGGAAAGAAAATTTCCCAAAAAATTAGAGGTGAAAAATACCTGATTGGGCAGTAATGAGGAAGTTTATCCAATATCTCCAATTCTTCAAGTGTGATCTGATCAATCTTGTTTATTACATAGATGCAAGGCATATATATCCTACTGCCTTCTATGACATCGATTAGATCATCAGCAGTTGCATCAAACCTCAGAGTGATATCAGCATTGTGAATTCTGTATTCGCTACATATTGCTTTTACAGTGTCAAGGTCCAGGTGAGTATTTGCAACAGTAGAGGTGAAATTAATACCACCCTTATCTTTCTTTCTGAATGTCAGATTAGGCGGTTCCTTGTTCAACCTGTCCCCACAAACAAAACAAATATTAGACAACAGAACAAGCCGAGATGCTTACAAAAGAAAGATGTGGAAACTATAAAACAGTATAAAGTTTCAAAAAGCAAATATGGCTACAAAGGGAGTTCTCTTTAGTTAACTGGTGACTCTAGTACGTTTCCTTTTTTGGGTTATATCACACATCCTCACAGAATTACAAAATCTATGGTTTCTGAAACAATGGAAAGGAGTCAACGTGTCAAACCAAAACATATATGCAGCAGAAGAATGAGAGCAACATGATACATGGATGCTCCAAGATATATGCTATATCAAATTATCAATTAAATCTAAAAGAATCATATTTATAAGAAAACTGAATATCACATATTCTGCACATCTATTAGTCCATCAAAACAATAAATGAGACCAATATATCAAATAGAAAGAAGTAAACCATGTTACTAAATGCAAATGATTCACGAATCCAACCTGGCCCTACTTTGACATAAGCATTACAGAAATAGAAATCCTTCAAGAAAAATTTAACAGCATAGCAGATCCATCTCAAGATAAAGGATCTATGGGCATGCATATTTCTTTTAAAATGCCATTATAGTAATTGCTTACACTCTGAGATCTCCACCTTGAAGAGCCAACAATAACTTTCAATCAAGTAACAGCTACCAAATTTATGTCATATTAAGGATATCGGTTTTAACTACTGACAACAAACATTGGTTGTAGGGGGAAACTAAAATCCAGGATGTCAATAGGCAGCAAGTAACAAAAAACTGAAATTTCTTAGAAAATAAAATATAACAAAAAGCGAGAAAAAGAATACCCTTAGGTCCACACATTGATAGCACTTCGGTGAAAAGCTATATAGTAATGTTTATGAATGGCTTAGGAATGCAGACAGGAATGCAATGCAAAAGAGGCCAAAATAAATTCAGGATGAAACCATCAAGAGGCAGAAGAAAGTAACTCATGCTACCTTATACCGAATCCTTCAAGCTCTTTCTCAATAAGACGCTTGTGAGTTATTGGTTTTATTGCATCAAGAACGATTAAAATACAATTGCATGTCCTAGCAGTGCTGATGACCTGGATAAAGTAGCATTTCTTTAAAATACTTGCAACAAGGGATGAACATGGAAAGGAAGATCAGAAATCAGCAGCATCTAAACCGAAAAGCAATTCTGCTATTGGCAATAACATTTTTATAAAAGATTTTAACTAGAATTATACTGTTTCTATGACATTCATAACGTTATGTCCGAAAAGAAATCAGATTGAAGATATCCCCTCTTCTCAAGTGCATAATCTTTAATGATACTGGCATGTCATAAACATGAAAAATTAACCACTTTAAGTTGCAAAACCATTTTTTTGTGTGATAAATAAAGAAATTATCATGAAACTATAGAAATGCAAAATTACCATTCTATGTTGTAAATCAAAATCACCCTAAACCTAAGCCCTCAACATTAAACAAAATAAATGAGCAATTAGAAGCTTTATTTATAGAGCAGATATAATTATGCTCAAGTATTCTAGTGCAAAAATATTAGCCGATAATAAACACTTTGAACACAGAAGAAAAGGTAGAAGAAACACACAAGTTATTTTTCATATCAGACAAAATTAATTGTGTGCACCTGTCTTCCTCTACCCTTTCCATCTTTAGCACCTTCGATAATACCCGGAAGATCCAACAACTGCAAATCATGATAATGCATTATACTTAGTTTGTTGTGTTCAAGAAAAAGGTACAACTAATCAAGTGTCGTGATGTAGTAAGCGGGAAAAGATGTCATAAAACTTATCACAGTTCATGAACATACCCAAGGTGAAATTTGATTTACAACAAATTCAACACAAATACCAAAGTTTTCATGATAATTAAGGCATCAAGCGATAGCCAATACTGGAAATCAAAAGCATTTCGCAATTCATTGGTTTAAAAGCATTGACTTAAAGCAAAAGAATATTTCACAATATGAATCTTAAACAGAAATAAAGAAACAGCACAAAAATATATAACAAAGTATGGAATGAACAGCCACCCTGTTTTATCATATGATATACATTGCTCCCAAAGGTAAAATAGTACAAAAGACAAAAGGGAAACATCAACTATTCAAAACTTCTACTAAAATTTGATCAACCACGAATAAATTAAAAAGTACATTAAGCTTTGCTATATAAAGCAGTACCTGGATTTTAGCCCCTCTATACACGATCACACCTGGAATACAAGTTAATGTAGTAAATTCGTAGGAAGCAACCTATAAACCACAAAAAAAAGTCCATCAGTCTTCAGAAGTTCCTGCACAATATTCAGCAGAAACCTCCAGAGAGAACATGTTATACTCAATACTCCCATTTGACTCCCAACCCCCAAAAAATAATCACGCTAAACATTATGTTCAGTCAATATAAGAGATGACATAAGACCAAAGACAAATGGATTTACATGCAACGTCAACTAAGGAAAGATAGGCTACTCAGAGTCAGAACCGGGGGGGGGGGGGGGTCATGGGACACTGATATGTGCTTCACATGATTAGTCATTCCAATTTTCCATGTATGTCAAGGGTGGACCTCCAGAACTATATGCACCTAAAATTTGATGGCCATTGGTACCTTAACGTACGTGAAGATTAAGAGCAACATAATATACTTCATAAGTCCAACCATAAACATTTCTCAGTCTTTTACACTAGGTTAACACTATTCCTCTCCAGAAAATTTCAATCTTTAATGTTTTGACAATGTATTTTTGGTGGAGATAAGAGCATGTTTCAAAAGTCTTTTGGAAGGCAATAAAAAAGGTTTTTCAATACAAAATCAAACTAGCATTTCTGATAACAGAAGACACAAGCATTGGTTTCATGTGGTCCATTGTGACATTATAAAACAGTCATCCATAGTTCCATACCTCTGAAAATGTCCCCGTCAACTTGTTAAGAAGAGTAGATTTCCCCACTGAAGGGAAACCTACCAGGCCAACTCTTGCATCTCCACTTTTGGTAACATCAAAACCTTCACCTGCACCACCTCCTCCTTTTGATGAAGGTGTAAGGAGTTCTCTTCGTAGCTTTGCAAGTTTAGCCTATTGCCGAATGACCGATAACACAAATAATTTCGGTTGGTGAAAATGAACACCAACAAAAAATGCAAACCAAAGATCTTTTAATTCAATGACATAATTCCACAATTGAAACAAAATAGAACTCCAAACAACAAAAAGCACATTTTCACCTTGAGCAACCCCAGATGATGAGCTGTTGCTTTGTTCTTTTGAGTCCTTGCCATCTGTAAAAAAAAAAGGAAAACGATTAAATACACCTAAAATGCATCAAACTTAGCAATCTATCATGTTTCGAGTACACATGTAACTTTCAGTGAATAAAGGTTCGAAGTTCTAGAAAACAAAAACAATTAATCATGTTTCTTAAGAAAATTTGCTTATACAGCAATTCATTTCCAGTAAAAACTGTATAAGATGAATAACCTATACAAAATAAATATCTGAAGCACCGCAAAAAGGGACTCATTTTTCTTACAAATTTATTAACCCGAAAAATATAGACATAAAATACAAAACCTGAGCCTTAAATAGTATATTCAAAGCGTAAAACTCGAATATACAAATAAATGAAGTAAAAATGGAAGTTTTCTTCACTTTCCCTTGGAAACTACGTGATACGAATTTGAATTAAAATTAATTCAAAAGATATTCAGAAATTCAGCAAGTACTAGGTTAAATTAAAACAAAGCACACAGATACATATAAAAATAGATTCATTTCAAATTATAGATAATCAGCAGCAGCCGAAGAGAATGGAGAGATTGATCTATGAACTAAAATTTAAATAATGAAAAAAGAGGAAGAAAGCTAACCTCATCTTCGATGTCTTTGATCTTTTGCATAACAGTGGCCATTGTTACAGAAGAAAAACAGCAAGGAAGGTGGCAAAGACGGACAGCGGCGGTTTCTGGACGAAATGCAGAAGAAGAAGAAGGTACTAGCTAAAAATGAAATTAATCGAACAATAATAGGGCTTTAGATTTGGGCTGCTATTGTTCTGGGTTGGGATATTATAGAAGGATCCCTTGCTAATTGCTATCGTCTTTAATTGTATTTTGTTATAAAAAAAGCTATAATATTAGTGTTACAGATATAGCACCACCGGATCCGTGGCGCAATGGTAGCGCGTCTGACTCCAGATCAGAAGGTTGCGTGTTCGATTCACGTCGGGTTCAAATTCCCTATCCTAAGCGGTTCTTATTTTTTGGTTTTTTGCAACTAGATTTTCTTCTATATTTATAAAAATGCCCCTACAATTCCCCCATGTTTACAGATAAGTCTCAATCTTCTTCAAACAGAAAAATGCCCGTAATGTCTTCACTTTACTCTCTGCTCCTCTCCCTTAACGTAAAATCCTCTCAAATGTTTCATTGAACTGAAATAAAGAATCTTCAGCATAGCAGATTCAAACTCCTTTTTTTCTATTTTCCTTTTAGTGTTGCACATACTCAAATTTTGAAAAAGAGATATGAATGTTCAACACTATACATATACAGACATTAAAATGAAGATACGACAATTCGAATCTTGACATTCTGGATTCAACAAATTTGGTTGGAAGAATCGACTTTATAATGAGCTCTACAATACCCGATTCAAATTAATTCACTAACAAATTGAATACCGATGGTTATAAAGAAAAGACTATATACTTATCCATACTTGACATTCACGCTAAACAATCGAAGTAATAGATATAGTAAGCACTATTCCATAACAAAGCACATTTTAGTTATGATGGCAAACTGAGATAGCATGTCGCAGATTCTTTTGGAAAGCTATTGACATAAACAATAACTCCATACAAGAACTCAACTTGATAACTTGAGCTCCGCTAACCGAGACGAGACCAAATTCGAGAAAAAGTATAACAGTGTATTATGATTACAACTAGTTGTACGACGACTCAAGGGCCTTCAAAGTTTACTGCTAATGTTGCATAGATTTGAAGCCATCAATCCTCCTCAGACTCTGCAAACAAAATCTCAGAAATTATTATTATTATTATTATTATTTCGAGAGGACCTAGATTAAAACACACACATGTAGACTACGCTGCTCGAACACGTGTAGACAAAGGGGCAGTATGAGTATTTCAAGAAAGTGTTGCATATAAATGAAAACGCATAAACCATTATGATTTAATGAGCAGAACAAAATGATTTGATTGTTGAGCAATCCATAGGCCAAACCAAGGTGTGGCTTGCCTGAAGGCTTGATTCGTGCCAAGCCAGGCCTGCTCAAACTTGTAAGAACTCTGTCCTAGGCCAGGCCAGTGGATACTCTGGTCCTTGGATAGGTTTAGTTCAGAGGTTTCAAATTACTTGTACTTAATAAGCAGAAAACAGAGTTAAAGCCCTGCAGAATATTGATTTTTTTATTTTCTTTTCCTTTTCAATGGGACAACCCTTCGACTTAGAGCAGGAGCCAGAATTTGAAACCCTGGTCCTGCAGGATCAAACCCCACAAGGGGTACACAAGCCACTGACCATTTTCTTTTCAATCCAATGGTGATGGATAAATTATATAAACAAGGGTAGCCACTTCATCCTCAATAGTTGGAACAAGCTTTTAACAGTTCTACCAATCATAAATGGTCTTCATCATATTGAACTGTTTTCCTTTTTCCAGTTTTCATTTTGATATTAAGTAAAACCTAAATCATGGTTTACGAAGAAAAAACATGCAAGCATCCCCACCCCAAGAAAATTACACACACAAAGAACTGTTTTCCTTTTTCCAGTTTTCAGATCGATCGGATTGAATTTGATAAGAGATATTCAAGGAGCTGGAGGAATAATGACATTAAACGACCTGAATAAGTATGAAGTTAAAACGAGGGAACCGATCTCAGCTAACATTCTAGGCCTTAAAGTTCTTAGTATGCCACCTCCTTCCTCTGGGGGTGTTTCAATGGTGCTTGTAAGTGTATTCTGCTCCATGTTTTCTGTATTTGAAGTTCATCAAAACAATGACTGTTCCAATTCTCTTGTAACAGGCATTGAATATCTACATAATACGCAGTCCCTTCCGGTTTTTCGGGGTCGCTCGGAATCCATAGACTAATTGAATCCTTGAAGCATGCATTTGCCGTGAGGATGAATATAGGTGATCCGGAATTCTTCAATGTTTCAAAAGTAGCCGATATGATCTCTCCCGATTTTGCGAAGAAGTTGAAGAAGACAATCAATGGTAACATGACTTTTGGCCCCATTTACTATGGTGGAAGGTAAAAATTACCTTTGAGATGTTGTCAAAGACTTCATTTTCTTCCATATGATCAATTTTCCATCCTGGCAGGTGGAGACAAGTTCATGATCATGGCACGAGCCAGATATCCATTGTTGATAAAGATCGAAATGCGGTTTCAATGACTAATACGGTGAATGCGTACTTCGGTTCAAAAATACTCTCACCAAGTACTGGAATAATACTCAATAATGAAATGGATGACTTCTCCATGCCTAAAAATGGCTCCGGAAGCACACCTCCACCGTCACCACCAAACTTTGTGCACCCTCGGAAAAGGCCATTGTCCTCTATGACGCCCACGATTGTACTGAAGGTTTGCCACTTCAATGATTTCAAAAGCATAATCTGACCCATTTCGAAAACTGGTTCACATTCAAGTGGTTTTGTAGGATGAGAAGCTAAAAGGAGTGGTTGGTTCAAGTGGGGGAGCCAATATCATTGCAGGGACTATGGAGGTTTTCTTAAACCATCTCGCTCTAGGGATCAACCCGCTCTCATCCGTAATGGCTCCCAGGATATACCATCAGGTTTTTAAAGAAAACTCTGGGTAATTTGGCATTGGTTTTCTTGATCATTAACATAAGAATGTCTGTTCGATGCAGTTGATACCCAATGTAGTGATGTACGAGAACTGGATTAGCGTGATCGGAGACATTTCTAAGTACCAAACACAATCAGGAGAGATCTTCAAAAGAAGGGTCATATTTTAAAAGGACTAGCTGGTAGGACGATTAGCCAGTTTATAGTTCACAATTTGAACACTGGAAATGGAAGCATTGGAGAACTTGTGGCGGTCAGTGACCCAAGAAAAGGATGGTTCCCTGCTGGTTTTTGATCCGCCATTTTTTGCATTGGGACTTACTTTCTCTTGTGTGTAGAATAAACCCAGTTTTGCAAACCAGTTTTGCTCAACTATATTTGCAAAACTGGGTTTCTTTATTGAATTGTCACCATTTAAGCAAAACTGGGTTTGATTCCAGTAAGAATATAATAACTGTGTTCGCAAATGAAAAGTTTAAAACATAACCCGATAAATTTGTAGCTAAACAAGCAACACTAATGAAAATCCAGAATCTTCATTAACCAAAAATTGGTATTCAAGCTACAAAATTTAGCAACATCCACAACTTAGAATAAAGAAGATACCAAATATTCTTAAACAAAAGGGGTTGGGGAAAAAGAGAAACAACATAGTGGTGCCGGAAACTATAGAACTGGACCATCATTGACTCAGTGGTCACCCGGAAGAGACTTGATGATGTCAGAATCACCTGCAGGATTGGATCGATTAAGAAAATTAGTAATCTGCAATGATCAGATTGTAGAGACAAGGAATTGTCATAATTTAGAAATGGTGTTACCTGGATCAACGATACTCAAGCAGGATACACGGAAGTACTTCCCACAAGAAGTTCCTAGATCATTATTGTCTGGAGAATTAAAGAGATTAGATATCAAGACATCTAGAAGAAAATGAGCAAAGGAAATCTAAGATTGATCAAATCATGTTTGTTAGAAAAATAGCCTGTTCCAACTCCCATAGTTCGGTTGAGCTAAAGTAGATGTTTTTTTTTGTTGATAAGAAGCTAAAGTAGATAATAAACAAATGAAAAGGAGAGAAGTCGCAGCAGCTCAACACAAGGATCATTCAATTCAAGCCAAGATACACATTATATCATAAATCTCTGTTCATCCATTGGGAAGAAATCCCAAAAAAAAGACTAAAGGATTTTATATAATGTAATAATATTGAGAGTTGGATAATTCAAGTGAAATCCAGTCTATACGACAATTTTAACAAACAAAACCAAAACTATGTATACAAAAAGTACTGGTTCAAATTCATCAAAGTCATACTTAAAGCAATAAGATAAAATGGGTAGGTAACCTACTAACTTAACCCATTACATCTAGGGTTAACATGGAGCAGAATACTCACTTTTTCACTTCTTTTTTAGCTGGTTATGTCTTCAGTTACTAATAAGCTAAGATATCTCTAATTAACCGAAGGCACAATCATAACAGTTCGAGTTGAATCAAAGGTGAACGAACAAAACAATCACACAAAATTCATACAACATTGAGCACGATACTAAGTTACTGACCTTTCATTTTCATCTTTTTAGCCATTTCAGTGCTTTATTCAGGGATTAATATGATAACAATATCCATAATCCGTCAAAAACGCACTCAAAAAATCCATATGCGCACAATGTTGAGCAAAGGAAACAATCACACAAAATATTTAAAGTGGTCAATTTATCATAAATGGAAGACACTGGATTCAAAAACAGTTTATACAACCATAATTATCCAAAGTTACCAATTACAAACATTAGAAAAATAAAAGGCCTTTGCAAAGCAGCCGAACGGAGGAAGGAAGACTTACTTCCATTGTAATGATGAACCCCAACTTTACAAAGCATTGCGTAGTATTCAATCTCAGATTTCCTCAGCGGGGGACAATTGTTTGAAATGATAATCAGCTTCCCTAAAAAAACATCGACAATCTTCGTTAAAATAAATTAAATCCCACAAATCTAAGAACAATCCAAATGATTAAAAAATAAAAGCAACAAAACGAAATTGAACCCAGATTTGAAAAGTTAAAGAACCTTTCGAAGTCCTGAGGGACTTGAGCACTGTTTTATAACCAAGAGTGTATTTCCCGCTCTTCATGACGAGGGCAAGCCTGTTGTTGATGCTTTCATGGGTCTTCTTCTGTTAAATCCAAAAATTTAAAAACAAAAAATGATTTCAACTTCCATTTTTTGACGTTGTGTGAACAGATCAACGAATGAAAGAGAAGAGAACGAAGGTTATTCACCGTTTTCTTGCCGGAAACCATTTTTACATGTAGTTGGTTTCTTCGTGGCTCGGCTGCTGAAGGTTCCTCTATCGAAGATGTCGAAGCGGAGTCTAGGGTTTATATACTACCTTTCAGCTTTTAAGGGTTAGGTTTAGACTTCAGAGCAAATCAATAACATGGGGATAAAAATGCAGAGAAAAAGTATACTGTAGACTGGTTCCAACCAAATTCACTTTTTAAGGCCCAACTACTCTGAAAATTTTGATCTTTTACACCATTGATACACATTTTCTATATATTTTAGACTGGTCATAAATTTTAGATGTTGTTTCGTTTTAATCATAATATTATAAAATATTTTATTTATAATATTAATTATTTAGTCATAATTATTATTTTTATATTATTCGATATTTTTTTCATAATTATTTTTATTTTTCTTTCAACTAATTCTTTGACGTTTTTTACAGGTTAAATTTTAATAAATTAGTCTTGTTATTCTTTATTGGTTTAAATTTTCTCAAAGCTTAACTAAAATTAAATATAATAAATCTATTATTTGGAAGGTTTATAAACTTGGTTAAATTTAAGATGCTTAAGTGTCTATTCAAAATTTTAAATAATGAGAACATTCTTTCGTGAATATAAATAATATATCTTAAAATTAACCTTTATTAAACGATTATCAATGAAGATTATAACATTAAAGGATTAAATCTTTGGATTTCAACATACCAAATCAATTAAAAAAATTATAGAAAAATATAAATATTTTAATATCGATATTATCATAAATGATGATCGATGATGAACAACAATCAAGTAATGATAATGGTTGGATAAGTTTAGAATTTTATTACAAAAGTAAGAATGAAATAATCGTATCATCCACGTTGTTAATGATTTAACAATATACTAATCAATGAATATTTAAAAAAAAATTAATGTCTTGATTGAAACTTTTTATAATTCAATGACCAAATTAGAGAGAAGAAAAGTTAAGCGACTATTAATGGAGTTTTACCTAAAAAACATTGGGAAAAAGAAATACAAAATGCGAAAGCTGAAGCCAAAATAGGACTTTCGTCGCACATTCTCAGCCCACAGTCGTGGCCACAATGGAAGAACCCTCCCCGACCCCGGACCCTCCGACGAACCAATTCGGATCTCTCAACGACCTAGCCCACGAGCTCGCCTCCCTCCAAGACCTCGCCACTCGCGGCTCATGGCGGTCAATCCTCGACAAAGTTTCCCGAGCCCGTTCCCTCAACCTCCTAACCAGCCCCCACGACCACCTCATTTACCTTTCCTACAACGTCCTCGCCTTCTCAAAGCTACGCTGTTTTTCCGAGGCTTCGAACGAAATCGACACCCTCGACGACTTCAACAGCAACTATTATAAGTACGAAACCTACCCTCGACTTTACCCCAACCGGTCTGGTTCGATGATCCCCTTCTCTCTTCGGTTCATCCACGCTCAGCTTCCGATCAAGCTTGGGAGTCGGCAAGAAGGGTTAGATCGTTTTTATCTTTTGCTTAAGTTTATTCGTGAGAAAATAAAAGAGAAAAAAAGCAATAATCTACATGACTCTGTCAGAATTTGGAAAAGAAGGGAAAACTCTGTTTTGAATTGTTTGATTGGGCATCACTTGGGGGATAAGGAATTCAGTTTGTGTTTGGATTTGATCAAGGATTTGATTAATCGTGATTATTTAGATCCAGTTTTAGTTTCTAAATTAGGTATATTCAGATGCAGATTGGGGATATTGAAGGGGCAAAAGGGTCGTTTAACCGTGTGGAGACTATGTTAAATGAAAGAAAGAGTGATGAGTATTTTCTGAGTGAAGTTCAATTTAGGAATCTTGTGAATAGAAACAAGGCCTTGGTTTACTTGGTGGGCAAAGATTATGTTTCAGCTGTGAGGGAATACGAGGAGTGTATCGAAAGGGATCATACGGATGTTGTTGCGCTTAATAATAAGGCACTGTGTTTGATGTATTTGAGAGATTTATCTTATTCAATTAAGGTATTGGAGAAAGCACTAGAAAGAATTCCTACCATAGCATTAGATGAGACTTTAGTGATCAATTTGTGTAGTATGTATGAGTTGGCATATGTCAATCACTCAGAAATTAAGAGGACATTGAGTAATTGGATTGTACATGTTGCTCCAGATGATTTTGACGTATCTTGTACAAGGGTTTGAGGTATTCTTTCATTTACTCGTTAACTACTATTATTTTCTTATATTGTCTCAATTTTTGTTCAGTTAAGATCAATTTCCTATATATTATCTGAATAACCATATTACTTGAGATACATTGTGTTCATAATGGATGCAATCTGTTTCCAAATCGTCCTTTATTTATTCGTTCATTTGCTTTGTTTTGTTCTATGATGCTACCATAATGGATTAGGTGGATTATTTAGTGGCTTTTGTACACAAGGGACTTCAAAATCAATGGTTTGTAGGATGCAAACAAAATAAATTATGGTTATCAAATGAATTCAACTGGTTTTTATGATTTTTTTTATGAAACATACTTTCTAATGTATCATGCAGAAGGAACAATTTTATATTGTATTTGATGATTGACTTGTGCATCATCTTGCTTTGGGACTATGCATTTTCTTATTGACTTGCGCAATGAGTATTATACCTCTGAACTATTTTAACCTCCAAATAACTGGCAACCTACTAAGAAGTGATTTATAAAAGTAGTATTTATTTTCCTTTTCTATCTTCTTCCTTATCCTCATAAGTGGTCTAAGGAGATTCTTGACTCCCTGAATATGACTGAAAACTTTCATCTAGAGTTTATATTATATACCAAGTCCAATTAGATTAAATTATATATCGACCTAGTTGTTATGCCTATTATACGAGGTACTGTCATACTCTTGCATAATGTTGTGTTGGAACTTTTTATACATCCATTGCCTTCTAGTATGGTTCATAACAATACACGACAGCCTAGTTTCTTAGTATGGTTCACATCCCAGCACATGATCAAATGTTTACTTTTTATCCATTTGTTGGCGGTTTGAACCCTGAAAGCAACCTCTCTGTGTACAAAGGGGAACACTCGTATACAAGTACCTTCCCTGGACCCTGTTTATAGTGTGAGTCTGTGCACTGGGCACAACCTTCTGTAAGTTGTGATGGTAAATTTGTGTTGTTATTGGGATTCTGCATATAAGCCAACATGGCTGTTCTAAGGTTTCTAATGGATCATTTACCCTTGAATTAATAATATAGTTTTAAAGGTTGGAAGGAGTGAGCTGGTATGAAGTAGGATGATAACAGTAGTGACTAGAGAAGCAGAGGGCGAGAATTAAGAAAATGAAACAAATCTTCTTAGTAGATGTGAGAAGAGCTTGTATGGGAGGCTTCTTACTGCCAAATAATGCTCAAGATCCGAATTATAAATAGTATTAGTCTGATTGCACTTGATGCTATCAATAGGGAAGTGTTAGCGCCCTCTGTATTAAGAGTAAAGACTGCAAAAACTTGTTGCAATTAGATGTTACTATAAGTTGGTCATATAAGACCGGTGTAGTTACTTTTATGTATATGATACATGAGATACACGTGAACTCCAAAGAAAAGTTTAGGTAAGAATTCTTTGTCAACTCCATAGCCAAGCCATAAAACGAAAGTTCCTTTAACATTTACAAGAGACATGGAGTTAACTATACAGTCTACAAAGAACAAGCAGCAACGGTTGTGCATGCATGTATATATTCCATTGTTTTGGCTTCCTAAACCTCATTTTAACTATTGGTGTCATTTCGGATCTGATTAATTGCTGAAATTGGGCAGGTTTTAATCAGTAAAGATGGCAGAGAGTTCGGTTGACTTCGAGGCAGCATAAGACCATTTTGCTCTTTCACTTTGTTCCTAGTTGATTCGATTATGGCAGCATCAGAGATTGTATAATTAATATTAATGTTTGCTACCACTTGGATATCAACGGAGATCTGCAAAAATATGTGCTACATTTGTCAATTCTATAAAAATTCTTCTGATGCATTTTGGAAAGGAATGTTTGTTGCTGTTGCTAAAGCTTTTTCCATCACAGTTGCTTTTGGTATGGAACTCAAGCGATCAAGTTGAGCTGAATTCAGAAATGTTGGAATGGTAGTGAATGGTTTGAATTTGGATATCTACAAATATATATATATATTGTGGATTTAGATATTGTGAATTCAAATAATATTCGACTTGATATTCGTTATTCGAAGTCGATAATCTAATTCGATATCCGCTTTTACTCAGTTAATAATGCTGATTATTGTGATTTTGATTGAGCTGATGGAAGAAATTTCTTTAACTTGAAAGAAACGAAGTTGTATTTCCACGAAAGAATCTTAAGATTATCAAATAGAGAATCGATACAAATCATCAGTTTTCTACCTTTTACCTATTTTTCATCCTCTGCATTCTGGTAACATTCGATCGTTTCTTTACATCCCTCTGAACATTTGATCTGCTCCTTTCATTCATCGTATAATTCCCAAACCCAAACCCAATTGGATTGACCAAACTCAGTTCATAATCATACATTTGACGAGAAATCGGATCCGAAAGTGTTTCGTAAGCCATTTGAAGCTCTAGAAACCGTTGGGTCGATTCTTCTTGACTCGAAGGAGAGCAAACATCGGGGTGATACCGAAGAACCATTCTTCTGTAAGACTTCTTTATTTCAGCTAAGCCCACATTCTCCGAATCAAGAGAGAGAACTTTATAAAAATTAGTCTTCCCCCTTTCAGCGGCAGCGAAATCATCAACCCTACACGATACGGCTTGGACCTTCATTCGCCGGAACCCTAACTTTGTGGTCGTCGCAACCAATCTGTTGGGATTGAAACTGAAATCCATGGAAATCGCCATGTGAATGTTGCAAAACTTCTGAAGGCTAACGATTCCTTACTCGATTTGTATCGAATTTGCCGAATTACGCGCCCTTGGTGATGATTGTTTGAGGAAGAAATGCGAGAGAAAATTAGCTCTTAACGAAGAAGTTGGAGCTGAAGCACTATAAAGAACGGGGGTGTAATTATATAGCATAATTAAACACGTTTTTGTTGTGTTGATTGTTGAATGCAATTTTGGCATGTAGTGATCCAAGGGTGGATGGCTTTGTTTAGTCAATTTTGGCACTGTTCTTGGAAGTTGCCCCCATATTTTATATTTTTACAAGTAATTTGCATGAGATGGAAGTTGCCACGACATTAACCGATTCAAATTAGAACACGTAGTAAATAACTATATGAAGACCCGATCCGACGATTGAGAATGGAGTAAATTCGATTAGGATGATTGTCTTTACCTCTATAGTATTCGATTCAGATTAATTGATCAATAGATCAAATACATGTGGTTATACAAAAAATACAATATGACATTAATAAGGCTTAAAATTAGGAGCGTTAAAAAATATCTGACCCATTGACTTGTCGATCCAATTTAAAATTATCAGATATTTTAGAGGTAAATATCTGATTTTACGGGTCGAGTATTTGACCCGTTATTTTTAGAGGGTTTCTGGGTCGAGCCCAGATCACAAAATTACCACTAATCAGATATCCTCTTATATGATTTCTCCTTTTATATTATTATTTTTATTTTAAATTAGATTTTTTTTAGTTTCAAAATTATTTTACCCTAGCATTCTAAATCTCTATTTTTTTCAATTTTTTCACCTTAACATTAAATCATTTCTTAAGTTAATTGTTTTAATCTTAAATTATTTTAAATTTGGTTGTAATTTTAGAATTTTATTTTATTTTATTTTATATATTTTAAAATTTATTTTTATCATATAATTTGAATTTATAAATTTTATATTTGTGTTATGTATTATTTAAACTTTTAAGTTTTATATTTTGTCTATGTGGATTTTTCTAAAAATTTATATAAATGAATATAATAAAATAAATATTAATATGGTACATGTGATCAAAAAATGTGAGTACTCGAGTTTTATGGGTACACGACTTACGATTATCCACTTCTTACGGGTCGGGTCATAGGCCGATTTTTTGTGACCCAAAAGTCTCAGATACCCGACATTTCAGGTACCCGAATTTGAACACCCCTACTTAAAATATCAAAGGTAAATTACACAAATGATCGATGATCATAGGATATACTTTGTTGAAGCTCTCGACTATTAAAAGTTGAAAAATAGCTTTCAATTATAGGGCGCAACTTTATTGAGTCTCGGTCTATTAAAAATTACAAAATGATCATTCAACTATTCAAATGTTACAAACTCATCATTTTCGTTAAAAAATTATGGTCGTCCGAGCTAGACATTATCATGTCGAGTGAGAATAAAATTTGATCCTAGAATCGTTTGAGCTGTATTTTATGGATCAAATTTTCATTTTCATTATATCATAGAGCTAATGTTTAAAATATTATGTCGTCAAGTCAGTGCTTGAAGGCAACAACAGTGTCAGTAAATATTATTAAAATATGATTTTATCATATCTTAAACAATAAGTTAACGTCTACTCATGCAATCGTTAAAATTTTAACGAAAAAAGACGAGTTTAAAATATATGAATAGTCGAGTGATCGTTTTGTAACTTTTAATAGTCGAGAGATTCAACAAGCCCTATAGTAAGGCTACCATTTTATAACTTTCAATAGTCTGAGAACTTAACAAAATAATGTCCTATAATGGAGGTCCCATATATTAAATTGTTGAAAAAAAGGTGAATGTAATTGATGAATTTAATATAAATATTAAATTAAAATAAGTCAATTTGAATATCTATAATTTTTAATATGAATATTAATAGGATAATTACTCTTTGAATATGTCAATTAAAAATGTATGTGTCACATTTTTAACTTTGAATATTAAATATAATTATATTCTGTTGTATATTTCAAATTAAAATGATATAAATTTAAGTTTGAACGGTAAAAGAACTTTATCTTGGAAATCCCCTGTAAATAGTGAGTTAATCTGTTAGGTTATTCACAAGTCAAAAAGTTTTAAGAAGAAAATAATTTCTCTCTTCCACTAGTTTTCGGGTGATAGTCGAAGTTAAGGATAGTTTGTGATCTCTATTGTTGTGCTACTGTAGTCGATCATCTAGTTGTGTTATCCTGGGATACAGACGACCAACAAACTCGAGTACTGATGAGGGTCGAAAATCTTTCTTAAGGAAACTATATAGCGACAGGCCTTAACTGTTTCCGATCGACAAATCAAAATAAAATGAGTATTTTTATTTTTATTTATTTTTTTATCTTATTTCCTAATAAATTTAACGTTTTTGGTTTATTTTCTCCGAAATGATTTCTCTCAAATTGTTGTTTCGGATAACAATCTCAAGATAAAAATAAGCTCGTTCTATCACTTTATCCCTTTGATTTTATAACGATATTTATTTATTATTATTTTATTTTTACCACTTAAATGTTATATCGTTAATAAAATAATTCAACAGTTGAATAATCAAATTAAAAATTTCAGTTTAGTGATAAAAATAAGAATATAATCAAAGTTGAGTGATAAGAAGTGTAATTTACCCTTAAAAGCAAAAAGTTAAGACTAGTTTGAATTTTAAACTTGAATATGAAACGTATCAAAAAAAATCGAGCTAAAATTTAAAGATTTGACCCATAAACCCGCGCTACTTAACAAATACTAGGGTAAACTATGGGAATAATACCTTTTTATTTAGTCTAATCCAATTTAATTATCAATTTAAAAATTAAAGATAAATGATTCATAATGTTATTAATCTATCCAATATTAGTCCTCACTGTTAATTTACATTAAGCTTTTAATGAAGATGTGATTTGACAATTATTTTTTGGAAAAACAAATTCACATTCATCCTAGTGCAGCTAAACTCTCGAGATAACGTTTTCGAACAAATTATTTTACGAGATAATGCTCTCCTAAGATTAATTGCTCAAATAGGGTGAAATCTACAGTGTTGGCCGTAGGTCACCATGCCATCCGGACGACCTACTAGGTTGCCATGTCTTCCCGACGGGCTATGAGAGAGATTGCATGTGTCATGCACGTTCCAACAAGCTGGGCATCCGAGGCCATCCGACCGAGGCTATCCGAGCGAGCTATGCAAGTGCATCTGAGGGCAAGAGAAATCACGCGAGGAGCAAGAGAGAGTGCATGGCGACATACAAGATCGCCCGGAGGGCATGGCGACCTATGCTTGGGGACGTGCATGGCTGGCCACGTAGTAGGTTGCCCGGAAGGCATGACGACCTACGACCAACACTGTGGATTTCACCCTATTTGAACAATTAATCTTGGGAGAGCATTATCTCGTGAAATAATTTGTTCGAGAATTTCTCGAGAGTTTAGCTGCTGCTGTTTTTTTTTCTAATAAAATACTAACAGCCTTATCAATACAACTGTCTCTCTCTCTCATCTGGCCATGGATGCAGTCAAGAACTCAAGATGTTGCTACTATCAGCACAGTCAACCTCCCTGTCTTCACTAAAACCCCATAATTTCATTCTCACATATACAAGACCAAAGGTGCTAGCCATGACAAAGGAGACCAGTGAAAGCGGCAATGGAGTTGCAGAGAAAGCAGCAATTGCCGGTGGTCTGGTTGCCAATCCAGTCATTGTTTGGTCCCTCTACACGCTCAAGACATCCGGTTGTAGTTTTCCCCCCGGACCGGGTGGCTCGATAGGTGCACTGGAAGGTGTTAGTTACCAGGTTGTTGTTGGGATTGTGGGTTGGTCTTTGTACACGAAAGTTTATTAATAAGTTCTACGTTTCAAAATTGTACTGTAGATTTTACAAGTCGATATTAAGTTTAATATATGAAACAAAGGTCTACCATTCCAAATATACGTAATGTTGGTTATATGATTTATCATGTCCATGATTGGAGTGTCGTAAGCTCCAAGCGAGAGGAAGCCTGCAATGTGAAGTTGAAAGTTCTTAGCATGTATTCCCCCCCCCCCAACTCTTTTTAGGGTATTTTATGAAAATCTTCCAACATAGAATTGACCTCTCCTGAAGCTTCATCAATGAGCATATATTTCACAAAACCACAGGAGACAATATCCGTTCCAAAGTCAGGATTAAACACAATAAAATACTAAGCAAAACAGCAATATCATCCATTTTAAAGTCATTCTAACATTACGAAGAACCCAATGTTTTCAACTTAAAAATCTCTCCAGCTTAAAACGAAACGCACTACGCTACACGTTGGGTGTTTTACAATAAAGGAAGAACAAGAAAGTTTTAGCCTTCCTGAGTTTAGCTTTGGATATAAGATATGAAGTATTACCATCAACTAGGGTAGCTTTTGGAGCAAAGAAGCTAAAATTGGACCGTTTATATGATACTCATATCGACCTTTTCAACTGTTGGAGTTGAAAGAAGCAGTTGAAGACATTTCTCGAGTGAAAGCAGTCATACAATAAAAGAAACAGAGTATTTCAAGTAAAAACTGAAACTACTTTCAGTAGCTGTTCCAACTTCCAACATGAAGCTTATATTAAAAGAAAAGTATCTCCTTTTGAATTGTGAAGAAGAAGTATTTCAGAGAATGCTGAGAATTTTTTAAAGAAATTGTAGTTTTTTTTCATTCCTTTTAGCGTGAAGAAGAAGAAGAAGAAGAAGAAGAAGAAGAAGAAGAAGAAGAAGAAGAAGAAGAAGAAGAAGAAGAGAGAAGAAGGAGAAGAAGGAGAAGAAGGAGAAGAAGAAGAGAAGAAGAAAGAAGAAGAGAAGGAGAAGAAGAAGGAGAAAGAAGAAGAAAAAGAAGAGAAGAAGAGAAGAAGAAGAAGAAGAAGAAGAAGAAGAAGGAGAAGAAGGAGAAGAAGGAGAAGAAGGAGAAGAAGGAGAAGAAGAAGAAGGAGAAGAAGGAGAGAAGGAGGAGAAGGAGAAGGAAGGAGAAGGAGAAGAAGAAGGAGAAGAAGGAGAAGAAGGAGAAGAAGGAGAAGAAGGAGAAGGAGGAGAAGGAGGAGAAGGAGGAGAAGGAGGAGAAGGAGGAGAAGGAGGAGAAGGAGGAGAAGGAGGAGAAGGAGGAGAAGGAGAAGAAGGAGAGAGAAGGAGAAGAAGAAGAAAGAGAAAGAAGGAGAAGAAGAAGGAAGGAGAAGAAGGAGAAGGAGAGAAGGAGAAGGAGAAGAAGGAGAAGGAGAAGAAGGAGAAGGAGAAGGAGGAGAAGGAGAAGAAGAAAGAATGAGAAGGAGAAGGAGAAGGAGAAGGAGAAGGAGAAGAAGGAGAAGGAGAAGAATGAGAAGAAGGGAAGAAGGAGAAGGAGAAGAAGGAGAAGGAGAAGGAGAAGAAGAAGAAGAGGAGATTAAATTAAACAGATCGATAGACATGAATTTTTAAAGTTTTTAATAAATTTTTATTCTAGGACTTTTATATTGGTCATTTATTTGGGTTTGTTTATTTTTTAATTGTCATGTAATATTTTTAATATAATATTAACGGACGATTGAGAGATTAAAATCGAACAGATCGATAACATTAGGATCATGTATATTGAAATTTTAAATTGATGACTAAAATTAGTAAAATTAAAAATAAAAAGGACTATTCGCACAGTTTACCCTAAATACTAAAACCCAAAATCACATTTCAAAATCCCGGTCATATTCCATTTCGCATATGCTTCCCTCCCTCACACACACACTTTAAGCCCTCCCATTTTATTAGTTTTAGTTTCCTAACACTTTCGTATTCCTTTCCCTTATCGATTTTTAGCACATCGGGTAAGTCCTCAAAATCTCCGAAACCCTCATTTTGTTTGAATTTTCGTTCATTCTTAATAGTTCCTTAATTTTTCTGTTGTTCAGCAGGTTTGAGCTGAATTGTTTTTTTAATGTATAATTTCAGAATGAGCGGAGATAATTTTACCGACGAAGAACCCAAAGTCCGTTCCGCTCTAGGTGACATTACAAATCGATCAGATAAAAGAGGGTTTTCGTCGATTTCTGATGCTTTAGGTTTTAATTCCAAAGAAGCAGATAACCGATTTACAAAACAAGTTTGTTTAGGTGGAGAAAGTTTGATCCAAGAGAAACCTAATGAATCCCAATTTGAACCAAACCCTAATTCCTCTTCTATTTGTAGTGGTGAAATTCATAGCTTAAAAGAGGATTCGGTGTTGGTTAATGAGAAAGTTAGTGAGGTTAGGGAAGGGGTTGATTTGTCTGATAATGATGATAGGTTAGATCTAGGTGTAGGTGTTAGGCAAGTAAGGGATGTGTTGAACGATAGTTGCAGGGACGAGACTGGGTATCTAGGCTTTGGTAGATTAGCGTCGAGTAATGGTGGGTGTATTGAGTGGTCTAGGTTACCTAAGTCGACGGTGAGTTTACCGCCGTTTGAGCTGGGGAGGTGTGCGGGACTCAAGAATGATGGTTCTAATTTGAATGCCAGTGTTGATATGCTCAAAGCTTGCTCTTGTTCTTTTTGCTTGAAAGGTAGCCCTCTCTCTCACACACACATTATGATTCAGATTTCAGAATATCATTTAACCCCTTTCAATTTCATGTTCAAATTTGAGATTGGATTGATTCATTAAAAGGAATTGATTCAATACAATTCTCGTGTACCCATAGGTAATATATTGGATTTGAATCAGATTTCAGATCATTCTATCTTGATTGGCAGCCTTCTTTATGTTGTTGCTACTGAATGCCACCATATTTGGTTTTGGATCTTCCAAATCATCAGTGTTTCTTTTAGTCTGAACTTCTAGTTATGGTGGTAGTATTTTGACATATTTATTTTTGTATCAACAAATAGTTTTGTACTTCTGTTTCCCAAAAGGAATCATGATGCATTTCAATGGGATTGCAGAGCTTTTTATTAGTTCCTATATATGCTGAATGATTTATTTTGTAGTGGAAGACCTTTCTTGTAATGTATATTCTTACGGCTTATGCTTGTTTTGTACTGATAATCAGCTGCCTACATTTGGTCGGACCTTCATTATCAGGATACTAAGGGTCGAATAGCTGGTGAGTCGAATAGCCTTTGGCTCTACTTTCCTTTTGGTCTATTTTGGTTGTAACTGTAACATGTTTTGTGTAGTTTTGAAGAAAAGTCGGAAAGAAGCAAGCATTTTGGTTCAGAAAAGTCCCACTGGGAAACAAAGCGGCATTCATAACCAGGGAAATTCCAATACATCTTCAAAATTAGAATCTGACCTTACAAATCAGTGGAGATCACTTTTTCTTAACATGGAAGATATATTTATTCATGAAAGCAACCAGCTCGTAAGTCTCTTCTATTCTTCTTCAGCCCAGATTTTTATTTTCCAAACTAAACGGAAGTACTTTTCTGTTTATGATACTTACCATCTGACTAAATTTGACTGCTAATTTTCAATGTCACCAAAGGATTTTACAGTATGTGACTGATACAAAATGAACTTGTGTTGCAGCAAGCCAGTTATATTGAACTAAAAGATCTGAGGGACAAATGCAAGATGGATCTAGAGCAGATAACGGGGACACCTTCGGAGAGATAGAAAGGAGCGTGCTTGCAATGTTTCTTATGAATGTAAGATCTTCTTGCTACTCCAGATTCCAGAATTTTGTATTTGTATGTTTCACATGCATTTGCCTATAACAGATTCTAGGTTTTTTCGTGACTTATAATATGTTGTTAAAAACTGTAAAATGTATGATCTCAGTTTGTAGTGCCTTTTCTTTTTCTTTCTATTATGTGCTCAATTTCTTTCTCATTATGGTGAACCTCCTATTAGACCCTTTCAACCTGGCTTGAATTACTAATTTAAATCATAAAATTAAGATTTTTATTTAAATTTAATTCCAAGTACAAATATTTCTTTTTGAAGTAATAAAACGAGTTATTCCAATTGAGTACAAAATCTAAAACTAATGTAGCTTCAAATTTGTCTTTGTTATGTTCCTCTATTATCGATAATATATTAATATTAGTTCTTTGCAATAATTTAGTTTCTCTATTATAGAGATTATTAATTGGTTCAAGTTACTTCTTTTATTAGAGATTGGTTCAAATTGGTCCCTTTAATATTAAATGGATCGATATAGCCCTTGTAGTAGTTAAAAATATTAAATAAGGTCGATTTTCTTTGAATAAAGTTAACACTTATAATTTTAGAAAATGTCAATTATTGTTTAACAAAGTAATTTTTTATAGGTTTTATTGGTCTGCAAATGAAATATATTTTTTGAAGGTAGAGTTGTGAATGAAAAAAAATCGTTATTTCTAAACAATAAATATATAAAAAATGCTTCACTGAACACTTTTTATTTGCATATAAAATAAATTGATTTATTTAATAGAAAAGGATTAATTTATATTTATTTCCCTCGTTGAGATACTACATTAATCCAAGTAATAGTAGATTAAATTGGTATAATCCAGATTGAAAGGCATTCTCACCAATGAAAGCACACAAAATGCCAAATATAATTCTAAAAGTATCAAAATTTGGCTTTGAAATCCGCTCGACAAAGAAAACATTTCCCCCCCTTTCCGATCATAAATAATGTTTCATGCTCTATTAACTTGCAACATTTGCTCCATTGCGAAACCTACTCTTCTTAATTCCTTGGCAGCTGGTTTCCTTTGTTGTTTCCCTTCGAGTTGCTTCTTTTCTATTTATTTATTTTATATTCGGTTTGTGTTTGTTTCTTAGTTCATCTTTGTGAGTGCCTTCGAGCATCAAACACGTCTCGTTTCGTCTTTCAGTATCCGGTGTTTCTTTTTTCTTGAGAAGTCTTCGAGCTTCGGCCAAGACTCGTTTCATATCTTCACTGTCAGATGGTCCGTTTTTCTCGACTTGCCTTCGGTTCTCTGACAAGCTTTGTTTCAACTCTTCGTATGTTTCTTTTTTCTTGAGTTGTCTTCGTGCCTCTAACAAATCTTGTTTCGCCTCTTTTTTTTTCGGTGGTGTTTTGGGTATATTGAGTTGCCTTCGAGCCTCGGACAAGCCTTGTTTCACCTCTTCATTGTTCGGATTCTCTTTTCTTAATACCTCATAGTCTTCTAAAGAAGCTTTCCATCTCCCCAACTGTTTACGTATAGATTAGGTTATCTTATAGTAATCATGTTATTTTTCACATTATATCTTACTTGGAAAGCAAGTTAAATATGAAATCTGACCTTGGAATTGCATTCGGCTCTTTTGAGTCTAGCTTCTGTATAGCCAGGGCGGACACTAAGGGCATGGGTACAGTCCCCGATCGCGAGCTTGATCTGGCCGAGATCGGCGTAGCAGACCGCTCGTCTGAGCAACAAGACGGAGTTGTGTGGGTCATGCTGCAGCCCCTCGCCATATGTGAGACATGCATCGTAGAAATTCGATGCCTTGAAATGCTCATCTCCGATCATTTGAGCCGTCGCCAGTGCTTTAGCTTTGCTCATTGCACAGCTCGTTTCTTTGCTTTTCGAGTAGAGCCTAACTGCTCGCTCAGTAGCAGCCACCGCATCATCAAATCTGCCGAAAGCCATATCCACCTGAGCTTGAACGACCAATATAATTGCTTTACAGATAGGGCCAAAGCATTTAATGAAGACATCGTCATTTAATTTCGGCGCTGCTAACAATGCTTCGTTCGCTTCTTGGTGTCTATGGAGCTTCATCAAAGCTTCGGCTTTCAGTGCATACATCTTCACAAAAAACAAAAAACCCAAGCTCTAGATTATAAAATCACAGATCACTATACTACATTTGTTTGGGTTTGGAGGATTTTTTACGCACATGTGGAGCTGAATCTGCTCCGGCTTTAATGGCGGAATCCGCTTCCTTTAGCAGCGCTTTCCAGTTTCCTTGCATTTTCGCTTCGGTGCATTTGTTCACATGTTGTTGAAGAATTTTGGCTCTGGCCATGTCGCCGTTGCCGGCCTCGGTGCCTGCTCGTTTGAAATGATACATCGCGTTTTCTACTTCCCTAATCTGTATTTTAAATAGGAAATTATAAAATTCTAGAGGATCGAAATTTTTATTCGTTTGTTTACCTGATGTATAAACTTGCTAGACGATGGTGAGCACGAAGATAACGGGGTTCAAGACGAATGGCTTCTTTGCACTCGAAAAGAGCTTCAAGAAACCGGCCCGAACCTTCTAAACCTGCACTTCGATCGGTTCGATAGGAAGCTTTGAACGGTTCAATGGCGATGGCCGCTTCGTACAAATTCAAAGCTTCCCCGAATTTGCCGCGCTTAAATTCTTCGTCCCCCAAGAATTTCAACGTTTCGGGACTCATCCTCTTCGACAAAGCTCTGCACAGAGAACCCGGTTCGCCGATTTCTTCAAACTCCTCCTCCTTCTTATTTCCTCCGATGGCCGGTTGCCTCAAGTTGCCTAAATGGCCGTACATCATGAAATTCCCCGACGAAGCCTGGACCAGGGTGCCTCTGCCTTTTACCTTTTGATAATCCTCGATCATGCTTTCGAGCTCGCCGGAGATGCTAACGGCATCTTTTGGGTACCACTCTGTGGGTCAACTTTGTTAATATTCTTTGGGTCAATTCCACCGGCGCCGGCGCCTGTTTATAAACCTGGTTTTGCTGTTGATGTACGATGATGAATTTCGAATGGCTCTGCGGCGATTTCATGAACGAACTGCCGTCGGAACTATGGTACGAACCGCTCCGCCGCTGCCATGGATTCCAGCTCGACGTTCTAACGTAGTTTCCGTTGTTGTTTTCCTTTGGCAATGAACGCGATGAAATAGACTTACTTCTCGGCCAAAACCTACACCTTCCGAAAAATGAACCCCATAACCCAGCACCGCCCGATTTCGATTTCTTTTCATATATGCCCCCCATAGTTTTCTTCCCCCGCGAAACTTTTCTTCTCACACTGCGATTTTCGTCCTTATGGATCAAAATGGTGTATTTTCCACACAAACAAACACACAAAACATGGGTTTTCTCTTAAATTTGTGGAAGAATACACACAAAACAGTTTAAAGATGAGAAGAAAATCGCGGGGAAGGGCCTGAAGCGGGCATGGTTTTCGTGAGATGTCACAGTGGCTGCCAAGGAAAAAAATTATGGCTTGTTTGGTTTAAATAGATGAATTTTCCCGGTAAAAGATATAACGATTTTACAGGTGCGTTTGTTCATCTTTTTTCTCCTTCTTTGGACTTTTTATTTTCATTTTTTTGGTGCAAATAGACAAAGCCGAAGAGATCTTTGTCTAAAATTAAATTGGAATATCCATTATTAGAATTTAGAAAAAAAAAACAAGTTTTTCTTGTTAGTTTACCTTTGTTATTGGATTCTAAACTAATATAGGATATAAGTACCTTTGTTATTATATTACAATTTTGAATTAATATTTGGATCTATCTAAATAGACATTAAATATGTTACACTTAATATTTTAAAAAAGATATATTTAATGTATATTTAATATTGTTGTAACATGATGTTAATTTGCATACAAAACTGCTATAGATGAGGCTGGCAATAATACAAAAGTAAAAAACGATTAAAGTTATGTCAAGAGTTTAAACGTTCAATAGTATTTGGTTTCTTTATGTTTAACTATCTATAACAAAATCTCTTAGTTTTGCTAACCCCATAAAGTAAATCCACTATAAATTTACATATTAGAATCAATAATGATATTTAAGCATGGTAAATTTATGATCCCAAATAACTAAAGAAATGAAAAAAAATTGTTATTTGTAAATAAATCGTGTTTTTAAATTTGGGAATAAGCCTATGCAAACTAAAGATATGAGAGTTAGTTAGATGCAAAGAATATTTTTCTACATTACAGTAATAGTTGTATTATTTTTTTTTTCTGATTGAGAAATTGGGAAGGATAAATGAGTTGTTTCTATGTCAGCTAAAACTTTTGAGAAAGATATCTGAAAATGAAATAAAGTTAAGTAACACGAAATTAGTAAAACGATGGAAACTAAGGATAAATGGGTTGTTTTGGTCACTTGCTCCTTGTTCAAATGGTCAAATATGTTCAAGATATCAACTTAAACACGAAATCCACATTATCTGTCAGCTTCTTTGGATGGCGACACTTCCATTTTCTTGATTGCAATCTTCAGAATATAGAAAGAGATTATTTGTATGTTTTCTATTACTCTTTAGTTTATTATTGCCTATTGAAGCATAATTCATACATGGAGCAAACAAAGCTATTGCTACACAAACATTAGGAAAAATTATAAATACCTCCCATGATTGTTGTTATTAGTGGATCAAATTCAAATATTCAAATAAAAGCTAACCCACTATTTTCTGGTCATTCTTCAATAATGTTAACGTTCAAAGTAACATCACCGGTCTCATATCATTTCTCGAAGTTTATAAATTGACTAATCCCCGATCAATAATCGTTTGAATCTTTTTTTTCAAATTAGAAAATTTTGGGGGTAAATTTGATATAAAATCATTGTTCAATAACTTATTTGATGTTTTAGTAGTAGTTTAAGGGTAAAATTGAATATTAACCTTTTTATTGACATTGTCATTGTAACATCCTCAATACCGAGTTAGTGATCAAATTGTAAAGTTTCAGAATTTGGTGACTAAAGTATAAGAATGAAATAATTCAATGATTATTGGATATATATGATGAAGGTTAATTAGTAATTATTAAAGGAAATTAAGGGTTAAATGGTCATTTGACCAGAAAGATTTTTATATTCCTTTAAAAGGTAATATAAACGTGGGGAAATATGAGAAACATCCAGAGTTCTCTTCTCATTTCTTCTTCTTCATACGTGGGAGAGCAAGGCAAAGGTAAGTTTAATTTCAGTTGGTTAATTCTTGAGTTTTAAGCTTAGTTTTGATTCTTTGGGTATTAAATAAGCTTAAGGAAAGCTTATATGGGATTTAAACAATAAGATAAAGGAATTATGAAGGAATTTGCAATATGAGTTTTAAGATGAAATTTTGATATGGTATGGTTGTTGAAGTTTTATGGATGAATTTGACTTGTCATCAATCTAATTAAGAAGTATGAAGTGTTAGAATTGGAATTAGAACACATTGAAAATTTGGTATGATTCTTGAATCTCATATGGAAGATAGGATTTTGAGGATTAAGATGAAATAAATGAATATAGATTGGTTTAAGTATGTGTATTAGAGTTAAGAATGAAAAGGGGATGATATATGAAGTGTTTGAGAGAAAATGAAGAAATTTTCGGGCTGAAATATGATTTCTGGGCAAGGGGAATCGGCACCCATTCAAGGGGAACCGATACCCCTTCAAACGAACAACATTTTCAGAATGTCATTAGGGAATCGATACCCCCATAGTAGGGAACCGATTCCCCCTAAAGGAAATTGTGAATATTGGTTTAATTAGTTCGTTTAAGTTGTTAGTATCCAATTACAAGGTGTAGGTATCTAATGATTGCCTCAAAATGTATAATTATGTAGATTCAAGGCCTAAACGAGTTCCGGAATCATTGACAAGTAAGATTGATCAAGGGAAAGATAGAAGATTGGAATTGACTAGTGAGGCTAAGGTGAGTGCATACTAGTGATATGTAGTGTTTAATGGAAATAAGACTTGCGATGAGTCTATTTCCTAGAGTAATATGCATGAAGTCATGGACATGATTATGTGTGGTTATAATTATATGTGATTATATGTATTACACTGATTGTATGTATGCATGACTAAAGATAATGATATGCTTTGTATATGCTATATGATGTATGTAAGACTTTAATATGTAATAATGGAAGAACATGAGATAAGTTATATGATAGAGTCATAAGAAATGAAATGAACATGAGAGAATAAGATAATCAAGTATAAGTTATATGATATGGTATAAGTGATTATATGAGAAATGTTAGGAGACTCTAAGAGAATAGTATGAATTCGAAGGCATAAATAAGGATACATAAGTAATATAGGGAAGATTGATAAATTAAAGGAAACTATGGTTTATGTATTATAGTGAAGAGCTACAAAGTTTTATTAAAGAGAATTGTGGAAGTCATGAGAAATTGAACTAAATAAATATATGGTTTATTCAAATAAAAAGGGGAAAATGATATAAAATAAGTTATGAAATTATAGGAATATAGAAGATAAGTCGAGAGATGTAGGGAAATAGAAATAGATGTTTATTAAGAGTCATAGGAGAACAAATATATGTAATATGATAATGAAATATAAGACTATGGGATACATGGTATGAGATAAAATATGTAATAATAGGAAATATGATGGAAGTGAGTTTATAAGAAGTGATATGAACTAGGTAAACATGGGTAACAGTATATGCATAATGGAAACATGAGTTGGACAAGTACCTAGGGGTATGATTTATTATGAGTAATTGAACTATGTGTTATATGAAGCATATATGATCATATGTGAACAAGATATGATATGTATGTTTATATGAATATCTGAGAAATGATCTAAGCTATATGATATGATATGTGTGATTATGTGCACTTTGTGAAATATGTTATATGATATGTATCTATGTAACTACGTGAGAAAGTATATAAGCTATGTGACATGTAAATGTGACTCATATGAAAATGTTCTATGAGTAATTGAACTACGTGTTATGTGAAATGATAAGTATAAAAGAAAATGCCCATGTTATGTGTCTTGAGAGCTAGGGGTATAGTTGGCATGCCAAGAGTAGAGGGTCTACGCGGTCCTTCGGGACAATATTCTACGCGGTCCTTCGGGACAATATTCTACGCGGTCCTTCGGGATATATATATATTCTTTGGAACATGTGTGAAGTCTGGTGAGACACATATATGATCCCTAGCATATGTATATGATTCTTAAGGAATTCTATGTGGTCCTTATGGACATCATTATATGGCACTACGGTGCAATTCTACGCGGTACTTCGGTGCATTTATACGACCTATGGTGACAGCATAGTGCACAACCTCACAATACTCAGATACCTTAGGTTCTCAATATGATATCATGGGCCAATAAACTCATTAATACAAATTCATGAATGTTAAAGCAATATGCTTACATGTATGGATATTGGTGATATGAGAACAATGTATGTGATATATGTATATGATTTTGTGATATGATGTGTGCATGACATGATATATCTGTGATAGGGGTAATGGTATCTGTTACATAATATGCACGAATATATGTGGACGTATATGTAAATGAGTTGTAGAATTGATAGCATAAAACAGTCATGCATGATTAGTGAGTATGAATTCCATTAGATGTGTTTTCTTTATGCCTCACTAAGTCTTCGACTTAGCGTGTGATTATTTTACACGTAGGTTTCGAGAAGAGTAAAGAGTAATGCGGAGCAAGACAGGTCAGTTTTCCTTACCAAATGTCAGATCAGAAAATATAGGTACTGTATATAAAGTGTAGTTGGCATGTAGTCTAAAGACATAAATTGTATGGACTCTGATATATATTTTGTAAACGTTTTGAATAAGTTAA